TTCATAATGCAACCCTTTAAATATAATTTTAATATAAAACAAATGATAAGGCCCTCTTATTGTTATTTCTGTCTAATGGTTTTCCATATCATTTATTACTGTAGAAAAACCTTCATGCTCTTTAACTATAACATTTTGTTATTTTGAAGAGTTATATATTACTAATTTTGTTTTCATCTTGAAAGAGAAAACTGCAACTCAGAAAGAGGTAGCTGTGGAAAAAGCCACAAATGTTTCGGATGTAGATTCTTCTGTGAACTCTGGACCGGTGTTTATCAGCACCAGCAGTTATGTGGTTAATTCCGAAATGGGGAACAGAAACATCTGAAGGATTAGACAATGATGAATTGATCAGAGATCCTAAAAATCCAGTTCTTGAAAAAGATGTTCATGAATTTGGTGCACCAACTGATCCTGAAAAAAATGAAGGATCTGGCAGCCATAAAGGTTCAAGCTGCCTTTCGGGGTTACTTGCGTATTTTCACTCGAAACAATCACAGTTTTTTATTTACTGTTAACATCAGAAAATTTTCATGCAACTATTAAGTTGATAATGACTCATTATCCATCCGTCCCACACCTTTACTACGGTCATAACTATGTTGAAATTTGAAACTTGTTTGATAATTCCTTGTATTATGTTGAATTATTATAAAAATCTATTTGCTTCAACTCAAGATGGCTTTCTCAAAATCAAATTTTTTTTTTTTTTCAATTAGAAATAATTGACTCGATATAATCTGTATCATATAGTGACGGTATGCATTAATATACTTACTCGGTATGTGCTTTTCACATTCACAATCATAATGTATCCTGCACGGCTTATTTATCATTTAAGTTTAATAATTATCTTACAAAAGTTGTGCATATACTTTTTGTATGTTTAAATATATATTATATATATCTTAGTTGTATAAAAAAATATTTTTATATTAAATATTTTTGAAGTGATAAGGCCTAGCTTGAATTAGATTGAATGTCTTTTACATCAATTTAATTTTCAATCAAACTAGAACTTGACTCAAATTAAAATTGAAATTTTATGTCAAGTTTAGGTAGACTCGCCAACATAATATCATAGCCACCCCTCTTATCTCCAGTTTTACAAGAAAATTGTTTAACAATTACCTTACATTCTTACAATATGATGTATAGAGGTGGTACTGGTAACATCTTACAATTTATTAAAATGTCATGCATAAATTCCATAATGCATTTGGAAATAGTTGTTATCTTGTGATGGGTTTTTTTTCTCTGGTTTGCCTACTTAATCTTACACCATTATTGATGTTATGGCAGGCACGCAGGGCATTTGGTTGCCATGAAGGGTATTATAAGGCTGCAGGCACTCATTCGTGGGCATTTGGTAAGGAGAACAAGCTGTTGTCACCGGCTACCATTTCTCTTTCTTGGAATTATCAAATTTCAGGCTCTGTTTCGTGGACAAAGAGTTAGATCTTCTGGTATTGGTCTTGAAATCAGAGCCAAATTTCCTTTATAGGAAAGCTGCGTAATAGCTGAACCTTGCAAATGCCTAGGATAATCTTATTATTTTGTAATTTGTTATTGCCAGTCTTCCCTAGAAAAAATTCATCTATGATTACTTGTTCTTTGGGGAAACTGTGATACTGCTTCGTAGAATAGTCGTCCAAAAAATTTATTTAATCTCCACAATTAGCTCAGATGGTGCTCATTTATATGGTGTTGGTATTGCGACCATTTACAATTATCAAAATTTAAACACTGAAATGTACTGTGTGAGATCATACTTTACCAAGCAATTAGAAGAGATCTGTAGTTCAAATACATAGATCTAGTGGAAATGTTCATCGAGGAAAAAATGTGAATTATTTTCTTAATATCCTAGCTTGCGTGGTTTGCAAGTACTTGAGCTGTATTTGCATGATTGCACTTGGGTGGTTGTAATTGTTTTCTGAATGTACTTTTATTTATTTTGTTACATTTTTTCTTGTTAAGCTTCAGAAAAAGCAGAATGAATGATAAATTTGTAGGACTGATGAAAATCCTTTTCGTTGTTCTTTGAAAATGAATAGAATCTTTCTAGTATTGGTCTTGAAGTCAGTACCAAGTTTCCTTACAGGAAAGGCTATGTTAGTAGCCTGACAATGCAAATCCTTTAGGAATGAATAATTGGCACAACCTTATCATCTTTGTAATTTGACTACCCATTCTTCATTAGAAGACTTTTTCTTATGATTACTTGGTTTTTTCCAGAAACAAGATATCTGCTGCATATTACTGATTGTCCAAATGCAATTTAAAATATCCAAATTATTCAGATGAGGTCCTTATTTATGGGTGTTGGTATTGGTGTGACCGTCTACATTTTGAAATTAAATCTTGAATGGTACTTGTTAAATGAAAAGTGGAGGGTTGCGTTAGGTAGTCGACAGCAGTGTAAAACTTGTCGACAAAAATGACATGAATCCTTAAAAATTGTGTTAATGCTAGGCGTCCCCTGGAAGCGACGCGCTGTATGGCCTGATACAGTGACAGTGTGCAAGGGCCGCTGACCGGCGCCCGCGGTGCAGTGTTAAATAGGCAGGGTTCCCACATCAATACGGGATGTGCGGCAAGAAGCCTAGTCCATGATACTAAAATTAGGATAGGACTTGGAATAAGGTTTCCTACAGGTAAATTAATGGAAGTTAATAGATATTTATGATTCATAGGAAATAAATATTTTATGCATTCAGGAAACTCAAGTGGGTTGGAGAGAAGGCTAAGGAATCGATAGGTTAGGATTTAAACTTTGTATTCGGTAGGAGTCGTACTAGAAATGGTGTAAGGTATCATTATAGATAGAGTTTAAAAGGATAATGTTTTAAAAATTAATAGGATGGTGATAGAATTATAGCTTTAAAGATTGTTGTTGAGGATAAGATTGTTAATATTATAAAGTGCTTATGCTCCTCAGGTAGGTTTGGATATAAGTTCTAAATTTAAATTTTTTGAATGACTTGGAAGAAATTAATACAAAAATATACCTCTTGAAGAAAGAGTTTTTATTGGAGGGATTTAAATGGACATGTTGGTAAAGAGGTAGAATGATTTTAAAAAGCATTCATGGTGGCCATGGATTTGAACGACGAATGAGGTGGAAAGAGACATATTAGATTTTCTGTTAGCTTTTTATGATTTTTCATTTGCTAAACTTATTTAAGAAAGGAATGACACTCATCACTTAAAAAAATGGATGTAAGTACAACCCAGATTGACTATTTTCTTATTAGAAAATTAAACCGTTTAGATTGCAAAGATTGTAAAGTTATTTCCGAGTGAAAGTTTATGTACCCAACATCGATTATTAGTTTTGGACTTTTAAGATAAAGGGCAAAATAAAAAATAAAAGTAAAAACGTTTTCTCGAGGATTAGATGGGGGCATTAAAGAATATTAACCAAAATATTTTTGTGAGTAAGATTTAATCTTAAGATTTTGTCTGTGCATAGAGGATGCTAATGTTATGTGGGAAAAAGTGGCTAGTGATATTAAGAATATTGCAAAAGATGTGCTTGGAGTATCTAAGAGAAAAGCTCCTAATAGTAAAAATAGTTGGTGGTGGAATCCAATTGTGCAAAGAAAAGATTAAAAATAAGAAGATTTGTTATAAAATTGGTTTAATTTTAAAAATTCTTATAATTGGGAAGATTATAAAAGTGGCCGTAAGGATTCTAAGAAAGGCAATATGCGATGCAAAGACTTAGCTTTTAGCGATTTATTAATAGATTAAATACTAAGGAGGGAAAGATATATGTATAAGTTAGCCAAACAAAGAGATAGGAGTAGTAAGGATTTAGTTCAAGTGAAGTGTATTAAAGGATGAAGATCAAAAAATACTTTTCTTAGAAGATGATATTTCAACAAAGGTGGATGAGATATTTTTGCTAAACTTTTTAATGAAGAGTGTTGAAAAAAGATTGACTATAGTGACCTTGCACCCTAATGAAAGTAAAGATTTATGTTTTTATCGGCGTATGTAGAAAACTGAAGTTAGAGAGGCTTTAAATAGAATGAAGGGTGGAAAAGCTGTTGGACCTGATGATATTCCAATAGAGGTGTGGAAATGCTTAGGAGATGAAGGGATTTCTTGGCTTACTAAACTTTTTAATACTATTTTGAAGACTAAAAAGATGCCAGATGATGGAGAATGAGTGTATTAATTCCTTTTTAAGAATAAAGCGATGCACAGGATTGCACGAATTATAGAGGTAATTAAGTTAATTGTCATACTTTAAAATTATGGGAGCGAGTTATAGAGCATAGGTTGCGGCGTGATACTAATGTTTCTCAATCAATTTGGATTCATAGCCGGGTAGGTCGACTATGAAGCCATACATTTATTCAGAGGTTTGATGGAAAAATATAGAGGAAATAAGGAGGATCTACATATGATATTTATTGATTTAGAAAAAGCATATGATAAAGTTCCAAGAGAAGTGCTATGGAGAGTTCTTGATAAGAAAGGATCATAATGCTTATATTCAAATCATTTAAAGATATGTATGCATGAGCTATTACTTGTGTTCAAACACAAGGTGGTTTGACCAAGTATTTCCCTATTTCGGTTGGGTTACATCAAGGATCAGCCTTAACCCATATTTTTTGCTTTAGTCTGGATGTTTCTCACTATACATTTGCAAGATGATGTACCTTGGTGTATGCTTTTTGCTGATGATATTCTTCTTGTTGATAAGACTAGAAGGGAGTTGAAGGTAAACTTGAATTATGGAGGTCAACCTTAGAGTCTAAAGGTTTTCGCTTGAGTAGATCTAAAACGGATATATGGAGTGTAATTTTAGTAGTAATAGTCCTAGTGAGGGGATTGTGACTTTGGGCGATCAAGTCTATAATAAGAGTACACGTTTTAGATATCTTGGGTCTATTGTTCAGAGTGATGGTGAAATAGACGGGGATATTATCAACATAATTCAAGTTGGATGGTTGAAGTGGGCGGAATGCATGGGCTTGTTATGTGATAGAAAATTGTTACCCTCAAACTTAAGGGAAAATTCTAAAGATGTAGTGAGTGCCTGCCAAATGCTTATATGTTGCTTGAATGAATAATCTTAGCTCTATGTCCCAATTACACGCTGTTCCATCGAACATCATAAGGATGATTCTTACAGTTGAATAGATCCATGCTTAAAAGTTCATAAATTAACATCCGTTGCAGAACTTGCGATCTGAGACCTGAAATCAGAGTTAAATAATTCAATTGTACTATTAACAACAAGTAAGGCAGAGTAAATAAAGCATAAACAACATCCCGTAAGATCATCTGCAATAATTAAGTCATCAGAAACAGTATTCAATGAACATAAATTAGTGAGAGCACTTAAATGCCCCCTAACCATGATAAGAAGCAGACTCACGCTAGGCCCGCCAGACTCACGAATAGAATGCAAAAAGAAAAAACAACAAAAAAAGTACTATCCCAAAAAACACAAACCCCAATAAACTCAAAAATAAAAGAACACCAATCTAAACTCAAACTCAATAATAGGAACGCACATAACTAATAGATGTGGGCCCATAAAAGAGAAGCATAATACTAAGTTAAGTGTGCGAGATGAGGAATGCTTAAGCATGGTGAGAAAATGGCTTTACCCTTTAGAGATAGCGATACGAATGAAGCATATACGTGAAAGGTTGGAGTAGCTCCAGAGAAGATAAGATTAGAGAGAGTCGCCTTAGATGCGTTTGTGTCACATAAAAGGCGGCCTTCGACCGACCCCTGCGTTAGGAAGTAGAGGTAATTAATTTGACCTGTGTGTTAAGAAAGGTAGGGTAGAACTAAAAAGACTTTTGGTAGAAAATATTAGGAATGACCTTTCTTTATTAGATTTAAACGAAAATTTGGCTTTTAATAGGACACAATGGAGAAAAAGGATTCATGTAGCCGACCCCACGTAGTGGGATAAAGGCTTGATGTTGTTGTTGTTGTTGTTGTTGTACTTGTTAAATTAAACTTTGTCTAGTGGATGATGCGACTGTACTTTAAGCTACCCATAAGCTTGAGGGCCTATAAGTGAGGATGATGAAGGCAGAAAGAAAGAGGAAGAGGAAGAGCAAGTGAGTGAAAAGTAAATATAAACAAAATCTTTATTATCCCAACCAGGAGTACAAGAATAATAAAAGCAAGAACTATGTTATGCAAAGCTTAAACTAAAGAAAAGGAAAACTAGCACAATATCTCTTTCTATTTTTTGACAGACTCTCGCTTATGCTGTGTTTCTTCTCCTTTTTCTTCTTCGTGGCTCCTCCCCTCTTTTTTGTAGGATTTGGAGAATTATAGTAGAATATGTATGGAGTATCGGAGTTGTCTTGTCAATCTTCGATTTGGCATGGCTGGCAGTGCCAAGTGGTGTGGCAATGTTGTGGGTTTGGAGAGTTACAGTAGGATATGCACGGAGTACAAGGATTGTCTTAACAAAGATATTCAATAGTGGGCTTTTGGCCTACCGAATATTGCATTATATATAGAGGGG